ATGCGCCCAGAACAAGCCAACAGCCCGACACAAGGCATAAACAAGTCAAGTGCAAGAGCTGAGGCTCTAGTTTTTGGTTACAACAGAATTATGGCCATTTGGTAATTGTACCAAATCGTATGCAGCAGCAACAACAACAACAACAACAACAATGACAACTATTTTTGGGGACTGCAAGATGTTTCTTTTGCCCCCCACCCCCACCCCTTTGGCTGTTAATGTCATCAGCCAAAGTAAAAATTCCCCTCTCCCTCTCTCTCTCTCCCTCTCTTTCTGTGCTTTCACTTGGACCGCAAAAACCGCAAAACACCAAGGCTCCCAAAAAGTCGTTTGCTTTTTTGTCCTGCCACAAATGTTATTATCAGCCGTGTTGCAAGACTGCTGCTGCTGCCTTAATGCCTCCATTTAGTATTCGCTTTCAACTCGAAGGCCGACTGAGGCTTTAAGAAAATTGAGGGAAACTTTTTCTGCCATCCATCATGATGGAGTCTCGGAGCACTTTCCACTTTCCACTCTCCACTCTCCACGATTTATCATCGCTCACCTGGGTGCCATAGATTATTATTTTTTTTTTATCAATTAATGCCCCTGGTATCGCCTGTCAAATTTTTGGGGGCTTCATAAATTTGCCAATGCCTCGCGCAGGACGTGACAAAAATTTCCTTGGCTGATTTTCCCAGGCACAAGGAGGTTTGTTTGGCTGTCAATTGATTTTAATGGTTCCTTTTTTTTCGGTGGGTCGTGGGCGACGCTGTGTCTGGCATATAAACTAATTAAAAAGTGTCCTTGAAGGGCGGAAGGACAGCAGCAGCCAAGTGGAAATAAATCATGGGCCATTGATGGGACACCTTGGCACCGCACCTCACATATTTCCCCGCGGAGAAAGCACTTTCTAGGGACTTTGCCAGGGAGGTATTATGTTCCTTCGCTCTCCGAACAGGAGATCGTGTACCAATCGACAGACAGAGCCTGTCCTATGGGGTGTGAAAAACCCCAATAACCACAAACATGACAATCATATGTGTACGCACGGCCGCAGAATATCAGGGCGAGAGACCGCAGGACACATTGTTGTGGAGCTCGCATAAATTTTTGTTCTACCAACGAGCAAGGACGAGCGTCGGGACGAGCTCAGGACAGCTCAGCATCTGCCAGTCAGACGGGCTGACAGACAGACAGATGGACAAACCACAATCATAAAAGAATCAGAAGCAGAAGCAGCAGCAGCATCATCCAAGCGACAAAATGCATTTGAACAAGTTTTTACGACATCCACAAGCCGGAGAGGGAGCGGACGGACGGACGGAGGGGCGGACGGACGGACGAAGAGTTTAAGAATTGCAATAAAATATTCTTGCAACAATTTAGATGTCTTGGCCTTACTTGCAGTTTCCTTTCTCTTACTTTCTCCTACTTTCGTTTCCTTTCATTTCTGCCTGGATGGCGTTGGCTGGCATTAGCCAGGGCCCACAGAGACATTGTGATCTCTGTGCTCGGACATGCAGTTAGCTTGTCTTTATGGCCAGGCCACATTAAGCCCCATTAATGGCCTCCACACACACACACAGTGCCCCATAGATCTACAGGATGCAGGATGCAGCCAGCGATTCGTGTTGTGATTTCCTGCGGCACATTGTGTGCCGCAAATGCATCTCAGTCATAAAATAAAACGGCAACGTGGGGGGACCGCAGCGAGGCCAATTAGTTTTACCTCGAGCTGAAAGGCAGGGGAGGAACAAGAACCAAGGACCAAGGACAAAGGACGTACTTGTCGATGTATCTTCCCTGGCACTAGGTCTTTAGGAGGATATTCTTCCTCCTGCCTCTGGCTAGGGTCTGCCCCACTCTGAAGGAATGCCTAGGCTCCCCCTCTTTAATGGCCGCGAAGGCTGAGAAAATATTTATTTCTCCAATGGCTTGTGATTGTTTATTATTTTTTGTGCTATTTAATATCGTTAAAATTCATTCAAGTGCAAAACTTGACGATAAACTTTTGCCGCAACAAAACAGCCCAAGCGAGAGGAGGAGAGGGGGTAGGGGAGGAGCTATATATGGGGGATATATGGGAGCCAGTCCCATAGGAATACTGCCAAAGAAAGCTCTGGGAAAAAATATGGCATCTTTGATTTTGACATTGTGCCACATCACGTACTCACACATACACACAAAAGACTCTACATACGAGTATGTGTTGGTGTGTGTTTGGGGGTGGGGGGAGGGGGAGAAAATAGCGCATAAATTTATGACACTCGAAGGCGTGGCATGTGGCATTTTGTGCACCAAAGCGTGACATCTTTTGGGAGGACAAAAATTGAACACTATTTGTTTGGCAAACCGAGAGAAGCGAGTGGGAGTGGGGGGTGTGGCACCCACTTTATGTGGGCTAAATAAGTGATAAAGTTGACTTTGATTCTGGCACTCCATGGCATGCCACTCCTTGCCCCTTCAATCGAGTCCAGTTAACCCGAAATTGCTTCAATGTCAATTTTTACGGACGATCCCCGGGATTCCGAGCAGCTGTCCAAAAGCTCAATGGGATACATTCTATTCCCCCCCGCCCTTCTTGGCCCAGTTTAGTTTTTCTCGAGTGGAGATGCAATCAAAATGGTGTTGGATAAGTAGATAAAGTATTTCCGGAGCTGTTGTGCGCCTCAAGCCGATAAAAATGTCACGGCGGATAAAAGCTTTTCAAAATTAGATTAAACGTTGGCTTTGGCTTTGGCGTTGGCCTTTGCTTTAAAGGTTTTACTTGCTTTATAAATAATATAAATTCCATGCATCCCCTGGATGGAAATTCCATTTAACTGATGCTTTCATGTCCAGGACACGCGTTGCAGGGAACTCAAAGAGAGAGCTCTCCCTTTGGCATGACATGCCAACAAAAAACACGACATTAAACACGAGGCAACGTGAAATTTTTCATAACTTAAACATCAGCATTCAATCTGCAGCCATCTGCATCGATAAATTTAATTTTGATGTAATAAAGTCGGGGCAGAAATTGTTGGCAGAAAGGTAAAATGGAAAATTATATTAAATAAATAAATAGGGACAATAAGGGGCAAAAGGAGCAAAGGAGCAGGGGCCAGTAGGCTCTGAAAGTACAGGGCATATTTCTTTGATTAAAGAGGTTTAATATTAATGGAAGTTTGTCCCTGTTTAAGCCCAAAGCCCAAAACAAAACTAGAAATGAAAACAGAATGCACACAGATTTATTTCGAAATTAATATTAGACATCCGGCAGAAGCAGAGAGTGGGGGAAAGAGCTCTGTTACATAAGCATAAATATTAATAAGTATGCTGGAAAATGATTTGCATTTAATGCCAGTCCCTGTGCCAGTGCCAGTGCCAGTGCGAATGGGACTATGATTTCCCCCAAGTTTTAATTAAAATGTCGTCACATGGAAACCGAAATACAACTGAGTTGGCAATTAGCAATGTTTTGCCATAAATTTAATTCAAAATGTTGGCCCAAACATTTGCTAATTTAAGCGCACCGAACGCACAAATACACGCCCAAAGATACAGATGCAGATGCATCTCTCTTTGGCAACTTATCACACAAGCTCGCAGGCCATGCCACAGATGCAGCAGTTGCAAGCAGAGTTGTCAACCTGCAAATGTGCATAATTCTGGCAAACACAGATACGTACGATCCAGGACCTGGCCCAGGACCTGGGCTGGGCCAAATTATAAGCCAAGATACAAACACCACAGCCACAGCCACAGCCACATGTACGTGCAGTGAAAGTTGTGTCCTTTGGGAAGAAAAGGGAGGACCTGTACCTAAGTAAATTGATAAACAGAAACACTTGGCCGCAGCAGGGACGATACGATTTCCACCGACGGAGACCACAGGCTGCCGGCTCTCAATAGATTCCTTCCATCGGTGGAAAACCCATCGTCTCAGAGCCTCTCCTCTGAGAGTTGTCTATGGGCTGTTAAGCGGCAAAAGTTTGTCGCATCCTGGGACACATCTGCCGCAAATGTTGGAGCATAAATCTGAGCAATGTCCCAGGTCTTTGGTCTCTGTTTGTCTGCCTTTCCGACTCCACAGACTCCACAGACTCCTGCATTTATTTAATTAAAGCTAAGCGAAGCACTGCACTGCTTTCGAGTGTTGTTATTGGCGCAATTATAAATGATATATGTAATTTACTTGACCAGTAATGTCCACTGATATGTCGTCCCATTGTCAGTGGCTTTGTTTGAGCCCTCCCCCGCCGCCACTGCCCCCGAAGAGGGCATTGTCTTTGGAGTCCTTCTTCTATTTGCCCTGCACTTGCATATTAAATTTCTCTGTGTTTTCTCTGGCTCTGTGTCCAGCCATCCATCCATTTGAAACTCAATCCGACCCATTTTCTAGCCACAAAAGGTGTTGTTTAACATTTGAAACGTTATAATGGTTAATTATGCGGCCAAGTCTTGCCCTTAATATTGAAACTGAAATTTATTTCGATTGGGGGTGGGGGTAGTATGCCTGTGGCGAAATGGAAAATCTATGAATATCAAATAAATTACATCATCACACATGCAAATAAGAGCCAAAGTATCTCTGCTTGTATCTGCTTAATATGCAAAATGCGTAGGCGGCAGCCAGTGAAAAACGTGGCTGAAAAGAGGCGGCGATTTGGAGTCGAAGCTGGAGATACCCTTGGAGAAACACAAGGACCTTTTTGGCAGGAAAATTATAACCCTATAAGGCTGTGGGGTGCCCTCTAGCCCCTTCAAATCCCCTTAGAAATGTATCAAACCCTTCTTCGAGAGCCCCCAAAACATCATCTTGTAAAAATGGGCCAACAAAATGATTGCGGCCTCAATAAGAGGCGTCAAATTGTTGCCTTGTCTCCCCTCATTGTGTCTAGTACGTGATAATTGAGCAGACAGCCGCCCCCAGCCGCCCCCCAGCCGCCAGGACGACCTCCCTTCAAGTGTCGAAAATTGAAAATGAGAAATTTAACTAAACGAAATGTCGTCTTGTCTCCATTTCTCCTTCGCAGTCACCAAATTCATACGCATTGGCATTGCCGATAAAAACGATAATCCGCCCTATTTCGACAAATCGCTGTACGAGGCCGAAGTGGATGAGAACGAGGATATCCAGCACACAGTGCTCACAGTCACGGCCAAGGATCACGATGAGTGTGAGTATATCCCCCCACCAGCCCACAGGAATTCCACAATTATTATCTTTCACATACTCGTATTCTTTGGTCTCCTCCAACAGCCTCACGTATCCGCTATGAAATTACAAGCGGCAACATTGGCGGCGCTTTTGCGGTTAAAAATATGACGGGTGCCATTTATGTAGCCGGCGCTTTAGATTACGAAACGCGGCGACGGGTAAGTTTCCCCCCCAAAAAGAGGGACAGGAGCCTGCTCCTCTGTAATCGACCAACGTTCTTCCGCAGAGATATATTTATGACATAAGCGTGGCGCCCAGTCAACTGTGAGATTTGTTTATGTCGCTCCGAAACATGTAAAATTTCCCCGAAAAGGCTGTTCCTTTTTAAAGGAATTTCAAGGATCCGAGGAGTATTTTAGATATTGCTTTTCTCTCTTTAGACTTCTATAAAATTCATTAAGAAACTCCCCCCCGGTCCGTGGGGGCCGCCAGGGCCACCGCGAGGCTACTTAAATATTGAAGAGCTCCCAAGCAGAGTTTTGGGCGAAAAAGTCAAATAGCAGTGGCCACAGAGAACCTTGGCGAAACATTAATTGAACAGAGCAACACAGCAAAAGGCAGGCGAAATCTTAATTGAATTTCAATTTGAACAATTGGCCAAAAGTGCAGTGCAAGACGGGGCCAAGACAATGGCAGTTTTGCCTTGACTTTAATTGGAAATTCCTCATCGGGAGGGACCTTTGAGGGCATACTCGTACAGTCAGGGCTTACAGTATAGGGCACACAGTGTATGCAAATATCTCATCAATTAAGCAGCAACAATACAAAATTACAATATGAATTATGTAATTTAATTATGAAATATTCCCTCCATCCACGCATCCCCGCATCCTGCCTCGTCCTTCGTTCAGTACGAGCTACGGTTGGCCGCCTCCGACAATCTGAAGGAGAACTACACGACTGTGATTATCCATGTCAAGGATGTGAACGATAATCCGCCTGTTTTCGAGAGGCCCACCTATCGCACCCAAATCACCGAAGAGGATGATCGCAATTTGCCCAAACGCGTCTTGCAGGTCAATGATTCAAACGATTCACTCGAATAGTATTCACTCTTTGGTTGCGTTATTCGTAGAGCTTTTTGCTTTTGCTCTTAGGCTGATGGAAACAAATGTTGTTTTTGTTTTCTTTTATGTTTTCCTAGAATTTTATTGCATGTCAAGAGTTTTTGTTCCCTCAATCCCGTTCCATGCCTGAAGCCACAAATATTATTGCACAAAAACCAAAAAAAAAACACACACACACAACAAATATATTTTAGAGTCGATTAATTATGGGGGGAGCACTTTTTGCTCCTCTTTCTGTCAGTCAATAAATTGTTGACATATTAAAGGTATTTACGGCTCTGCAAAATTAATGGACTACGCAGTTTATTATTTGAAAAAGTTTTGCCCCTTGCATGACGGTTTTTTTTTTTTGCATTCGATTTAAGGCTCGTGTGATTTAAGGGCATAGAAAAAACCGCCTGAAAAGTAATTGAACAATTAAAAAAGGGCCGTCCATTCTGGAGTGGACAAATGTCGGCGAAAAAAACTTAAAAATACTCGCATATCCACAGTCATCTATAAATAATTTCCATTGCGGTTTCGAGGAGGGAACAGAATAACGTATAAAAAACGTATAATAATATTGATTTATCATTAAGCACGGAACGTCAATTGAAAATATAGTACAAATATGCACAAGATCGAAGCATATTGAATTGTGGCCATTTAATGAGTAAAAGCGGGTCAAAGGGGGTCAAAGAGGGTCAAAACTATTACAAGATACTCTTTGCTTCAGTTTCGAGTGGGGACCATCTGGGGCAGTTTTCATTTGACCCGCAAACATGTGTAAAACCATTATTTGAACTGAAATTTTACTTTAATCAATATTTTAATGGTTTCTTTTTGTGTGTAATTTATGCGTATTTTATTGTTTATTGTTTAATTTTTTTGGTTTATTCTTTATTGTTCTTTCCCCGTTGCGCCCGAAAACAAATGTCCTGTTCGCCGGCCATATATTTTATTTAATGTCCTGTGCATACGGTAGTACGAACTGAAATTGGTTGCGTCGGACAGTTTGAATGAGAATCAAACGACCATCGTCATAAATGTGCGCGACGTCAACGATCTGCCGCCCCAATTCCCGCAGACGTCCTACAACCGTACCCTTGACGAGGAATTGACCACGCCCTTTACCATCATGCAGGTCTCGCTATAACATATACCATATACCACTTACCATATCTCTCTCCGTACCGTATCCATGCCATTTCCATCTTGTACATAGCCGTGCCTACTCTCATTTAACAATTAATTTAACCCCCAGCGACATTAAATCCTCTCCACCATTCGCCATTCACCATTCAATCGCATTTCGCATTGTAAGCCAGCAATAACAATCCGTAAACATAATGAATAATCGCCTGGTGATGGGTAAATTTGTTAATTTAAACCATTCGGCAGTAATTTTAAAAAATTATATTTAAATTGAAAGTAAAATTCCCCAGGCATTCAGGTTGAAAGGACATAGTGGGGCATTAATCCCAGGCCACACGATGGGTTTTCCACCGATGCGACACGGCGTATAAATATATGCATATTCCTTCGGCTGAAAACGCCTCGTGTAACCGCCTTTTTTTGAACATTAAATTTTTGTATTTTATTTTTCTGGTTTTTGGTAAGCGTCAACCATCTCTGCGGTCTTTAATTGCCACGCTTAAATGTCGGGCGTAAAGTTTTCCCATTTTATTTATCATAGTTTTTCCATTAGCCCGTTTTCTGTTTCTGTTTCTGATTTTGATTCCGCCCGTAAAAGCTGCTAATTAAATCGAATACGCTCTTTAAGTATTAATGCCACACACACACACACCCATACACACACGTACAGCATTTGCTCGATTAAGCTTGGGGTCGGTGCAGATTTTGTATTGTGGTTTGTGCTTGTGTGTGTTTTTCCCAACTAATTTAATTAAACTGGTCGGAAAATGGAAAATAAATGTAGCTGCAGCTTAAGGCTAACAAAGGGAATTAAAACCAATCTTTCAGCACTTTTAAATCACCTTTTATTTACATTTTACTAACCGACAAACAAACACCATTCTCCCCGGTCTCTCGAACATATTTTTCCATTGACTAAACCCCATATCTGTCGCCATTTGGCTAACAAAAGCATAATCCCCGCCAGCAAAAAAAAGTCCCATAAAAATGGGGTTCAATTAGCCAAACATTTTGATTAGAGTCGATGAAAAAAGTGTAATAACAAAAGCCAATGGTAAATGGGGATTAAAACAAATAAAAGTCACAGAATGGAAAGGTTTTTTCGAGAGAAATTGTGGAAGAAAAAAAAATGTAGTGCATGATTTTGTTTAATTTATTTTGTGCATGATAATTTATGGCATGTTTACTGCTGCGCTTTTTGTTCTGTATTTATTTGTATTATTTATTCCAGAATATTCCATAATAATACCACTTTCTTGCGTTAAACAGGTGACTGCCACGGACGGCGACAAGGATCGTCCCCAGAACATCGTGTACTTCCTCACGGGCCAGGGCATTGATCCCGATAATCCGGCGAACAGCAAGTTCGACATCAACCGCACCACCGGCGAAATATTCGTGTTGAAGGTAATGAAATAATCTTAAATCAACGTTAAGTACGCCTCCCAATTTGGGCATTAACAAGTTGCCACAAGCCGCAGGCACACGGCGTACACAATAAATAAAAAACGATATTTAAAGAGCAACAGACTGATTGCTGATTGGGGGGCCACCCCCCATTCACCCATCCACCCATCCGCCCATTCGATGCTCACTTAAATCTGTGAAAAAAAACCCCGGGAAAGTGCTCATTATTGGGGGCTTGAAAGATAGTTCTTGTCGAGGAAACAATTAAAAATACTTGTACATTCCTGGAGATCCTTTTTGGGGAAATAAATTGCCAAAACCTTTTCTAAATCGCCGAAAAAAGCACGAAAATCAATTGAAAAGTAAATTAAAACTAATTACAAAAATCACAATTGAAAAACCCCATGCCGCATTCCAGTTGCAAAAATTTCGCTTTATTCCGCGCACACACTGACTGCCAAAAGTATACGTACGTACGAGAAATACTCCAGGGCCAAATTAAATGAAATTCCCATGCGTGCATCCAAAATACTCGCAGAATGAAACGAAAAAAACATGAAAAAAAACATGGAAAACATTTGGGGGCCCAACCACTTTAGTCATTTTCAGCCCCATAGACCAGGCCGACTATCCCTCCCTCCAACCCTCCTCCCACTCTATCCGCAAACAAATATAATTTTGTATTTTCAACCGCTCCTCATGGCAGGAAGAGTGTTTCGGAACTCCCCCTGAAACTCTGGGGGAGGAGCACATGATAAGGGATAACATGTACAAAGAAGGGGAGGGGGTGGGGGGTGTAGCACAGTCCGTGACCCACTCACAACTAATCCCTTAAATTGAATATGTCATAACAATGTTGGCAAATTTGTCATGCAAATTAAAGCGATGACGACGCAGGAGTATGGATACTCGTATATGTACATTATTTATTTTTTAGATTTTTTTTTTCTAGACTAGAGGGTAGTCAGGGGTGTCTCCTTTTGCCAGGGACTATGTTTTGGTTCTAGAAATGGTTTGCTGGAGTACAAAATGCCTTCCCAGAGAGGTGCAAATTTCTAGATCCTTCCCCTTGGAGTCGCCTTATTGGCAGCCCTTTGTTCCTCGATCACTGGATAACCCTTGCGTCTAATCCATCACTCAAAGAGGACCCTTTCTGCACACATTTGTTCCGTTGTTGTCGCCTTTTTGTGTGGCACATTCCTTTTATGACAAATCCAATGTCAGCGCCATGCAAAAGTCTTTCTCTGTGGCTGTCACATGAGAGTGAGTGTGGGGGGGCGGGGAGCTTTGGGGGGCATTAGCCAAGGGTTCTGCCAGCAGCTGTGCGGCATGCGCCAACAGATACAAAGCGCTGATTAAAATCGGGTTTTCCCTCCTTTTTTTGCGCTTTTTATCATGAGGAGGGTCTGGCTCCCCCTCCCCCCACCCTCCCCCCACACACGCACATCACTCAGGGTGCTGTGAATGCATATCAAAGTCAGAATCAACATCAGGTACAGGGCTCAGGGCTCAGGTTGGGCTTCCAGCCCCATTGTGCTTGAGACAGGCAGAAGGAGAGCGGGGTGGAGGGGGTTTGGGAGGGGTTTGGGGACTTACAACAATGTTGTCCGCCCTGATGTTAATCGGTTTTGCGTTTATGACAGCTTAAAATTACACACAATACCCGTTAGGGAGTGCGCATATTAACCCCGAACGGATATAACGGCGCTTTACACTCTCCTTCTTTCGTCCTTTCATACTTTTTATAGCCCTTGGATCGCGATCAACCTAATGGACGGCCCCAGTGGCGCTTCACGGTCTTCGCCCAGGACGAGGGCGGCGAGGGACTGGTGGGCTATGCGGACGTCCAGGTCAATTTGAAGGACATCAACGACAATGCCCCCATTTTCCCGCAGGGCGTTTACTTCGGCAACGTGACGGAGAACGGCACCGCCGGCATGGTGGTGATGACCATGACGGCGGTGGACTACGACGACCCCAACGAGGGCTCCAACGCCCGGCTCGTCTACTCGATCGAGAAGAACGTGATCGAGGAGGAGACGGGCTCGCCCATTTTCGAGATCGAGCCCGACACGGGCGTCATCAAGACGGCCGTGTGCTGCCTGGATCGCGAGCGAACCCCGGACTATTCCATACAGGTGGTGGCCATGGACGGCGGGGGGCTGAAGGGGACGGGGACGGCCTCGATACGCGTCAAGGACATCAACGACATGCCGCCGCAGTTCACGAAGGACGAGTGGTTCACGGAGGTGGACGAAACGGACGGCACGGCCCTGCCCGAGATGCCCATCCTCACGGTGACCGTCCACGACGAGGACGAGACGAACAAGTTCCAGTACAAGGTGATCGACAACAGCGGCTACGGCGCCGACAAGTTCACGATGGTGCGGAACAACGACGGCACGGGCTCCCTGAAGATCGTCCAGCCGCTGGACTACGAGGACCAGCTGCAGAGCAACGGCTTCCGGTTCCGCATCCAAGTGAACGACAAGGGCGAGGACAACGACAACGACAAGTACCACGTGGCCTACTCGTGGGTGGTGGTGAAGCTGCGCGACATCAACGACAACAAGCCGCACTTCGAGCGCGCCAACGTCGAGGTCTCCGTCTTCGAGGACACCAAGGTGGGCACCGAGCTGGAGAAGTTCAAGGCCACCGACCCGGACCAGGGCGGCAAGAGCAAGGTCTCCTACTCCATCGACCGCTCCTCGGACCGTCAGCGACAGTTTGCCATCAACCAGAACGGCTCCGTGACCATTCAGCGCTCCCTCGACCGCGAGGTCGTGCCCCGCCATCAGGTGAAAATCCTGGCCATCGACGACGGCTCGCCACCGAAAACCGCCACTGCCACGCTCACCGTTATTGTCCAGGACATCAACGACAACGCACCAAAGTTCCTAAAGGACTATCGGCCCGTGCTGCCCGAGCATGTGCCGCCCCGCAAGGTGGTGGAGATTCTGGCCACCGACGACGACGATCGCTCGAAGAGCAACGGCCCGCCGTTCCAGTTCCGCCTGGATCCCAGCGCTGATGATATTATACGGGCCTCCTTCAAGGTGGAACAGGATCAAAGTGAGTACAGAAAGACCCTTAGAGATATATATATATTCCTTCCCCTTTGGCAACAACTTTCGCACATCCCCAAAGCAAGCCCCAAGTTATTTCCGACTTGGATGCCCTTCGATCCGTTCATTCGTTTGCCGCACACTTGCCAATTACTTGCGAATTGCTCCGCACACACACTGGCACTCCATCGAGGGGGGGGGGGGGGGGATTGGGGGATCTGGAAATAGTTGCCAGTGCTGACCATTTCGACATTTTGGCCAGCAAACTTTTGCCCTGCTGCGATGCAATGAAAAGTTTACCAAAATATTTGGGTCAAAGCTTAAACAATGCACAAGCGTAACATTTTTTCCACTGCTCTCCCCCTCCCCCCGCCTTTTTGGGGGGTGGCTTTTGGTATTGAAATTTCCTAACAGGCTATTGAGGGAACGGGCTGGGATGTGTCCTGTGTGTCACACAATATCGCAACGCTAACAATAGCATAAAAATGCAATTACACCGAACCCGCAAAAAAGAGACACAAAATCGAGTCCGGAGCGGAGTCTGGGGCGGAGTCCGTAGCGGAGGCTGGGGCCGAGTCTGGGGCTCCCCCGCAAATGAATAGCCCAGGAATCTTTGGCCATAAAACGGAAACAGCAAACCGCATCGCACCCATTGCGCCAGGTCCCATGAAAATTTAAATAATATAAGCACAAAGATACAGATACACAACCTGCATGGGTGTGCGTGTGTGTCTCGAGCAGGAGATACAGAAAATAAAATGGCAAATGCACAAGTTTTCAATTAAATTACCTTCCAGGAGGGGGCCAAAATGGGGGGCCAGGAGAGGGCCCGGAGAGCATGTGTCTGCCGCAAAAGCCAAAACTACACACACACACACATGAGTGTCCGTGTGTCTGAGTATCTGTGTGCCGGAGCGAGGAAAAGCCAAGTTAGAGAAGGAAAAACTGGGCACAACTCGTGCGGGTGGCAATCCAATTTTGATGCCACAGCTGGGAGCCCAGGAACTTCGGGGATCAAGCCTCGGAGCCGGAGTGACTCTCAGACTCTCTGCTGTGTGCGGACTCGTATTTGCATACAATTTGCCTAAAAACACACCACGGAGTGTCTTTAAAAATACATTTCCAATGTGCGGGAGGAGTACAGCCCCTCTCCCAGCCTCTCGGGCTCTGGGGCAGGCCACAGTCGAAGACTTAACACTTGTTGGCTCAAAGGCGTAATTACAACAAATGCGGGGGCCAAAAGTTGCATCCGCAATCAGGTGGAAAGCGTGCTGGCTAATAAAAGAGCTTAGTTTTTGGTCTGCTGGCTGATTGGCTTACAGCTAACAGAAAAGCTAGAACTGAGGGATTTTCAAGTTTATTGAAAGCCTAAGCCCTGCCCAAATACCTATTGAATGGGGAGTAGGATGGGGATAGTCTTTTAGGGAATCAAAGGCCTTTTTGTACATCTATTCACTCCCTTTACCCGCTCTAATCCCGCCTTAACAGAGGGCGCCAACGGTGATGGCATGGCCGTGATATCCTCGCTGCGATCCTTCGATCGCGAACAGCAAAAGGAGTACATGATACCCATTGTGATCAAGGATCATGGCTCGCCGGCGATGACCGGCACCAGCACGCTGACCGTGATCATCGGCGACGTGAACGACAACAAAATGCAGCCCGGCTCCAAGGACATCTTCGTGTACAACTACCAGGGACAGTCGCCGGACACGCCGATCGGCCGCGTGTACGTCTACGACCTGGACGACTGGGATCTGCCCGACAAGAAGTTCTACTGGGAGGCGCTGGAGCACCCGCGCTTCAAGCTGGACGAGGACTCCGGAATGGTGACCATGCGGGCGGGCACCCGCGAGGGCCGCTACCACCTGCGGTTCAAGGTCTACGACCGGAAGCACACGCAGACGGACATCCCCGCGAATGTGACGGTTACCGTGCGGGAAATACCCCACGAGGCGGTCATCAACTCGGGCTCCGTGCGCCTGTCGGGCATCTCGGACGAGGACTTCATCCGCGTGTGGAACTATCGCACGCAGAGCATGAGTCGCTCGAAGATGGACCGCTTCAGGGACAAGTTGGCGGATCTGCTGAACACCGAACGGGAGAACGTGGACATCTTCAGCGTTCAGTTGAAGCGCCGCAATCCTGCGCTGACGGACGTCCGGTTCTCCGCCCACGGATCGCCGTACTACAAGCCCGTGAGGCTCAACGGCATCGTCCTGATGCACCGCGAGGAGATCGAGAAGGACGTGGGCATCAACATCACGATGGTGGGCATCGACGAGTGCCTCTACGAGAACCAGATGTGCGAGGGCAGCTGCACGAATGCCCTGGAAATCAGTCCCCTGCCCTACATGGTGAATGCCAACAAGACGGCCCTGGTGGGCGTCCGCGTGGACACCCTGGCGGACTGCACTTGCGGGGCGCGCAACTTCACCAAGCCCGAGTCGTGCCGCACCAACCCCTGCCACAACGGCGGACGCTGCATCGACACTCGGTTCGGGCCGCACTGCTCGTGTCCCGTGGGCTACACCGGGCCGCGCTGCCAGCAGACGACGCGCAGCTTCCGCGGCAACGGCTGGGCCTGGTATCCCCCCCTCGAGATGTGCGACGAGTCCCATCTGAGCCTGGAGTTCATCACCCGCAAGCCCGACGGCCTGATCATCTACAACGGCCCCATTGTGCCGCCCGAGCGCGACGAAATGCTCATCTCGGACTTCATTGCCCTGGAACTAGAGCGCGGGTATCCGCGACTGCTCATCGACTTCGGCTCCGGGACCCTGGAGCTGCGCGTGAAGACCAAGAAGACCCTGGACGACGGCGAATGGCATCGCATCGATCTGTTCTGGGACACGGAGGACATTCGCATGGTTGTGGACTTCTGCAAGTCGGCGGAGATCAGCGAAATGGAGGACGGCACCCCGCCGGAGTTCGACGACATGTCCTGCCAGGCGCGCGGCCAGATCCCGCCCTTCAGCGAGTACCTGAACGTCAACTCCCCGCTGCAGGTGGGCGGCCTGTACCGCGAGCAGTTCGATCAGAGCCTCTACTACTGGCACTACATGCCCACGGCCAAGGGCTTCGACGGCTGCATCCGCAACCTGGTGCACAACTCCAAGCTGTACGATCTGGCGCACCCGGGACTCTCGAGGAACAGTGTGGCCGGCTGCCCGCAGACGGAGGAGGTCTGTGCCCAGACGGAGACCACGGCCCGCTGCTGGGAGCACGGCAACTGCGTGGGGTCCCTGTCCGAGGCCCGCTGCCACTGCCGACCCGGCTGGACGGGGCCTGCCTGCAACATACCCACCATCCCGACCACCTTCAAGGCCCAGAGCTACGTGAAGTACGCCCTGAGCTTCGAGCCGGACCGCTTCAGCACCCAGGTGCAGCTCCGCTTCCGCACGCGCGAGGAGTACGGCGAGCTGTTCCGCGTGAGCGACCAGCACAACCGCGAGTACGGCATCCTGGAGATCAAGGACGGACACCTGCACTTCCGCTACAACTTGAACTCGCTGCGCACCGAGGAGAAGGACCTCTGGCTCAACTCGATCGTCGTCAACGACGGCCAGTGGCACGTGGTGCGGGTCAATCGGTACGGCTCTGCCGCCACCCTCGAGCTGGACGGCGGCGAGGGTCGGCGCTACAACGAGACCTTTGAGTTCTCGGGCCATCAGTGGCTGCTGGTGGACAAGCAGGAGGGCGTCTATGCCGGCGGCAAGGCCGAGTACACGGGCGTTCGCACCTTTGAGGTGTATGCCGACTACCAGAAGAGCTGCCTCGACGATATACGGTGCGTATACGCTATATAGATGAGGGATATACCCATGAATACTTACCGCTTTGATCTCTCTTTTCCTTTAGTCTCGAGGGCAAACACTTGCCCCTGCCCCCCGCCATGAACGGCACGCAGTGGGGCCAGGCCACCATGGCCCGCAACCTGGAGAAGGGCTGCCCCTCGAACAAGCCCTGCTCGAATGTCATCTGCCCGGATCCCTTCGAGTGCGTCGATCTCTGGAATGTCTACGAGTGCACGTAAGTTCCAAGCCCTCCATCGTTTCGATCATCCAACGCATTGCTTTTCGTTTCTCATCTTCCAAAAAAAAATAAGAAAAAACCAAGAAATTAATTGACTGTTCGGACTGAAATTACAACCAAAAATGTATCCAAAAACAGGTTTATAAATTTCATTTTGATTTACAAAGGCCCCAACCCAAAATCCCAGAAAATCCGCCACAAAAGCCAAACATCTGATGGGCTTAATCAATTAAAGGCAGGACCCCCCACACACACACGAGAAACAGAACAAAAAACAGAGGAAATTGAAGTAGGAGGGCAGCCTTGCAGGGCAGCCAGCAGAGAAAGAGAAAGAGTCGGACACGATACAAAAGTCCAGTTAGTGATTGGCACTAAACGTTGCGTGACAAATCAATCGGCTTAGGCTTACGTTTCTGTCGATTTCAATTCCGATTTCGCTTTGTCGAGAGTCGAGTCGTAGGAGAGAGAGAGAGAGAGAGAGAGTGGAGAGAGAGAGCGTTTGTTCTGCTTGTAATAGTCTTTGTACATATTCACGCTTTTGTTTCATTACACACACACACACACACTAACACACCTTTGAAGAGCTTATGCTTTGCCCTTAGAGCACCCCAGGTACAGGTACAGGTACAGTTGTGTACCCAAGTACTAGCCGCTTATCTTACACGTAAACCCAGGCACACACACACTCTTTTTTTGTGCTCCAATCAATCCCTTGGGTCAAAGTGCTCAAAATCAATCACCAAAGAACACACAAATCCCCTGTAAAGTGGTCGAGAATCGGTTCAAGTCAAAGGTTTATAAATTACACGACCCCCGTACCACCCCTCGTTTTACGTAATCAATCGTTCAGCACTCACTTCTTAATCGCTTGAGAAAAGGTGACTCTATCGAATCCTCTAAGAATGATTCCCTTTTATTCCGTATTTACTTTTATATTTTCGGTTTTATCGGTTGTCCTTCGTTTCTGTTCAAACAAGACTCTACTGGGACCTACATAAAAATCGGTTAAATCAATCCATTCATTCGTTAAACGCATTTTTTTCGGTTGCTCCAATAAACTAATGATATAAAATCTGTAAAAAACAAAAAACAACAAACAATAGTTGCGGCGAAGGACGCATCATGTCGCCCGATTCCAAGGGCTGCATGGACCGCAACGAGTGCCTCGATATGCCCTGCATGAACGGCGCCACTTGCATTAACCTCGAGCCCCGTCTGCGGTACCGCTGCATATGTCCGGACGGTTTCTGGGGCGAGAACTGCGAGCTGGTGCAGGAGGGTCAGACCCTCAAGCTGAGCATGGGAGCCCTGGCGGCGATCCTAGTCTGCCTCTTGATCATACTGAGTGAGCATCAAAGATCGAACAAAGAAGAGACCCATTGAATCCCCCCCCCCCCCGCCCCCTTGAATATGCAACAACAATCCTAGAGCCTGCTTTTAGCCTTTAGACTGAATGTTGTAGCGTTTATTCAATCATTCAATCATCCAATCATCCTACCATGTTTCCATGCACTTTTGCACTTTGATTTCGTATGATTTTGCCATCTTTCTCTCCATCAAAAATTACAAAAATCTAATCGAATTCTCCATCGAAATCACAGTTCACCGAATGTCGCCCTTATTTCATTCAAAAACTCATTTCCATATTCATATATCGATTCATATAGCGTATCCATTTTGGAATGTTTGCTTCTGGCGCTTTTTCCCGCCCCTCAATCAATGTTTTTTTAATGTTATTCAATGTGCTGTGTACTGTATGTAAATATTTGATAAACAAATGCGAAACGAAAGGTTTGTACAACCCGCCTGTAGTGGAATATTTTAAACAATTTATAGCGGAAATTACAGGACACTGAAACCAGTCCGCAGACCCGCCATAGGTGCTCCCTTTAGTAGCTATTCCGCCTCCCCCCCCACCCCTCACTCAAAGTGCACTCAACTAAAGAGAATGCCCTTCAGGTAAGTTAACAAATGTGCAGTCAAGATACAAGACAAGGCCAAGACCTGGCCAAAACGGTAGAGCAATTGCAATTGTTGGCTTTGGCGTTTCGTAGAAATCACGAAGCACTAAATCCACATCACTGACAGAGACACCCACACACACACCCACACACACACACACACACACACACACACACACCTGCACATAAGAAGGGAGTTCTCAGACGGCTCAAAGGAGCTTCCAGCTGGCACTAAGAACTCGAATCTCGAACCTCGAACCGCTGCCCGTCCGTTTCATTTTGCTGGGATTTACGACGATGGCAGAAGGTTTGCATTTCTTTTCGAAATGCGAGCATCTCTCGGGGTAAACAGCCAGAAAAATGCCACTTTTAAGTTTAGAGCCAAGCCGGGAAGACACGAGACTCGCCCACGAACATTTATAAGTAAATACAGAGTTTATTTCATGCCAGAATCAACTTGAAATAAAAACTTAATGACGTACAATGTGGCAAGGCGAAAAAGCCAAGTGGAAAATGGGAAAATTCAACAAAATTATCAAGTACCTCACTCACTTCTGATCGGTTTAAACTACGCACTTGGGAGCCATCGAACAAAGAGTAAAAGAGTGCCAAAGAGGGCCAAAGCGGGCAAAGCGGGCCAAAAGGAGCAGCTAGAAAAAAAAAACTATTCAACTTTTCAACTGGCGCTGATTTAGTGCGAAAGTTTTCTCTGCTTTTGAGGTATTTATTCTATCTGCTGCGTTCTTTTCAAGTTATTTGCCTCCTTTTCCCCTGCGATGCCCCCGCTGTGTGCTCTCCGCGCGCCCCCGCGGCATTCGCCAATCAATAATCGACTTCGTCAATATATCAAAAGTGTCTTAAGTCTGCATTTGAAAAGTATTCAATTGTGTTTGCCGGCAGTCTCTCATAGTCTATTGGGTTTTGTTAAGGGGCTCGGACATGGCCTTAAAGAGTGGACAAAGGGCAAACCAATTTCCGTCATTTGTAGGACATTTACGGCGACAGATGATATGAAGGCATACACATTCTTTGTCTGTGCTCCCACGAAGATTTTCTTCAAAGAAGAGTGGAAAGAGGGAGTATTCCCTTGGAGAAAATCCCACGAAAAAGCCAATTATCTATCCTCATGAAAATGGAAAATTTAAGCAGAAGAAATCCATATTTATAGGAAATTTATTTCGTAAATATCAGCTTGAAGTTTCAGAAATATGTTTTATCATAAATTTTGAGATATTTTCATCAAATTTTGAGATTTATTATCTTCCAATAGTTTTCCTTCGTGCCTCATAAAACATTTATATGGATATATCTCAAGATTCTTTAAAGAATATTCATAGGGGAAAAGGTTCGCCCGTGGCCAATTTTCACAGAAAAAAGACACAAAATTCCATGAAGTTTTTCGGAAATAAAAATAAGAAAGAAAAGGGAAATTTAGCTCCTTTTGAAATGCACAATTGATGCATCTATCACCCATCAATATTAATAAATTCGTTCCAGGGGTCTTCCCAGCTTACAGCCAAAGTTAGAGCCAAAGTAAATGCCATGCATCTCAATTATTCGTTGCCTTTGGACGTTTTCACACCTCAATGTCCCCAAGTCAAATGGCATTGTAAAGTTTTGTATGCCCCAAACGAACCACAACACACACTATTCCAAAAACTAATCAAAACAAACTTAAAGATAGAGATGGAGATGGAAACAGTGCGCCAAAGTGCGAGAGCATAAAATGAAACTCAAGTTAGCGAAAGAATGCAGCAGAACGGAAGAAAAAAGTTTATTCAATTCAAAACCGAAAAACAACGCAAAAAGATTGTTGCATAATAATCATAAAAAAAGAAGGAAAAGAAGAGAAATTGTACCAAAAACAGCACTTAAGATGCGTGTTAGGGAAAGGGACTACGGGGGGGGGACTAGGGGGAGGGGGGACTAGGGGGATGAATGCTCGGCCAATGCAAATGCAAATGCAAAAAGTTTCTCACGCCATTGGAAAAACTGAGAAAATAAACTCCCACAAAGCGTGAAATAATAACAACAGCAACGAAGAACGAAGAACGTTTATAAGACTTTCCGACACGACACTTTCCCCCCATAAAAGACTCTGAGGAAACGAAAGAGAAGCAAGCGTTACACACCTGCATGATGGAAACAAATTTTTAAATAATTTCTTTTTGTTTTTCCCACACATCCAAACATCCGAAATCCACCCACAACATTCCACACTCCAACAAAAACCCGCCCCCCGTGCCACCGCCACACACATATCGTCTTTTGGGGGCCCGTTTGCTCAGGTGTCCGGCGGGCTATAAGGCCTCCGGCAGTAGTTGTGTGAACGACAACGAGTGCCTGCTGTTCCCGTGCCGCAACGGCGGTCGGTGTCGCGACCATCAGCCGCCCAAGAAGTACGAGTGCCACTGCCCCATGGGCTTCACGGGAATGCACTGCGAACTGGAGTTATTGGCCTCCGGGGTGCTGACGCCATCGCGTGATTTTATTATTGCCCTGGTCCTTTGCCTCAGCACGTTGATATGTAAGTATATTGAAGTGGAGTGATTGAGAGTCCACAGAAGGCTCGACAGAAGGTGGAGGGACCTCGTAAGTTAAGGTTGACCCTAGACTAGACTCCAAAGAGGCTCCTAGCGGGCCTCAAGTAAGTTTTGCATGACTCACAGCCCATTTGTGCGTATTTATTGTATGTATTTATCCTTCGTTTTCTTCGTTCTTATGCCAATTAAAAGTTTAATCAAAAGTTAACATGCCATTTAAATATTGATGGCCATCGCTCTTGAGCTGTAAAATTAATTAAGTCTTGCAATCACACCGAAAGTCATTTCCGCAAATTAAACGACACAACATACAGAAAAGTCTTCCATAAATTAAAGTTTATTGTATTGCCGGCCATGGCACAATTTTTGCATATCAATGAAAAATGTCAGCCACGGCCCAGGAGGGCGGGAGGGCGCGAGTGATAGCCGGGAACGAGGGGAAATGCCTGTTTGACTAACACAATAATTGCAAATTACGAAATGTCCAGCTGGAAACAGAAAACATTTCCACAGAAAGTTTTACAGAGAGACTAGAAACAGGGGGGGAGACTAGAAACCAGGGAGTACGGTGAGCAAACAGAAGTGGAGCCTGAAGAGAGTCCATACTGGCACCAGGAAGGCCAACAAAGTTGCCAGAAGCCGCAGAAAATTACTTACGTCAACTTCAACGGACGAAACGGAACGGTCGTCCTGGCCATTACAACGACTTCAATATCATCCTCCAAAAAAAACAAAAAACTTTGTGCAACAGATGCTGTCTGTCCCTGGGACCACGCTTCGCAATATGGTGGAAAAGTGCGCTGAGAAAATTAGAAAAACACTCGGGGAAAAGAGAGGGGGAGCGAGAGAGAAGCGACCAGTCGTCTGTGGCTTGATTTGCTGTTTGGTCAGAGCGCCATTTGTCGCTGTTTTTGGGGGAAAAGGAAGAGAAAGAGGACTCTGGGGAAAAAGCGGGCAATATCTGTTTACTTTTTTGTAAAGCACCCTTTGGAGGGGGTAGCACTAGTTTTGCAATGATATTTATCCACTTTTGTATCTATGATATTAAACAGTAGAAGGAGGACATCTATTTAGTTCCTTTTTTTGGCTATTCTCTCTCGGAGAAAGCGTATCTTCTAGTCGCATTAATTCCCATATTTTTTTCATATTGCTTTTAAGAATTTTTCTACATTTCTTTATATCCGTTTTAGTAGTTCCACAATTTAATTAAGCAAACTCGTACTCGTATATATATGTACATCTATATTTTATTCATTTTGTATCTGTTGGCGCCCCTCCCCTTCCCCCTGCCGTTTTTACAACTAAAATTGCTTTGCATGCTAAATTAAGTGTAGTTTAATGCAATTTGTATACAGTATTACGTGCTGGGTCCCCCGACAGCTGTGTTTGTGGCTGTGGCTGTTGTTGTTGCATATCAAAGGCGGGTGGGGGGATAGACAGAGAAACCGCTTTCATGGAACTGCATTTTAATATTGTTTTATTTGCACGCTCCTCTCCGCGCAGTACTGGTGCTCGTGTTTGTCGTTTACAATCGGCGGCGCGAGGCGCATATCAAATATCCAGGTCCCGACGATGATGTGCGCGAGAACATCATCAACTACGACGACGAGGGCGGCGGCGAGGACGATATGACGGCCTTCGACATCACACCGCTGCAGATACCCATCGGGGGCCCAATGCCGCCCGAGCTGGCGCCCATGAAGATGCCAATTATGTGTAAGTATTCCTCGAATGAGAGATCTTTCAGAGAAGATGCATTGCCCCTCTTCATGTCCAGATCCCGTCATGACACTGATGCCTGGTCAGGAGCCCAACGTGGGCATGTTCATTGAGGAGCATAAAAAGCGCGCCGACGGCGATCCCAACGCCCCGCCCTTCGACGACCTGCGGAACTATGCGTACGAGGGGGGCGGCAGTACTGCGGGCTCCCTCAGCTCCTTGGCCTCAGGTGGGTACCGCCACGAATGGTTTTGGTTAGTTTTGTTTGCACCCAATATCAAAGCAGTCTGAGATGAGCCCCCCCAGAACCGTAGGCTATCGACTAGAGAGAAGACTAGAGTAGCGCACTCGACTCCTTGCTGATTAAACATATTTTTCTGACACTTTCAGGGCAGCAGCTCTCAGATACGGCTGAATATTGGGTGTAAATAGGCGTTTTGGTGTTCTTTGATTAATATGGACTTTTGGGTGTGCGTTTTTCGTGGCGTTTTCTCTTCCCCCCTTTGCAGGCACGGACGATGAGCAGCAGGAGTACGACTACCTTGGGGCCTGGGGGCCGCGCTTCGACAAGCTGGCCAACATGTACGGTCCGGAGGCGCCCAATCCGCACAATACCGAGCTGGAGTTGTAAATGGCAGGCCCCCAAGGGAGGGCCCGTGCACTAAACGGTGGCCTAAAGGAAGGAAACCTAAAGGAAAGATAAACTGTTGGTAGATACAAAAGTTGCATTTAAAGAAATCCAATCCAATCTCTACGAAACACACACACACACACACATAGACACACACTCATACAAAGAAAGCGCAACCAAAGAAAAGGCATTGCAGAAGAAAATCTTTAACTAAGAAAAGGAGGCAAGGAAAATGGTAGGAGGGGGAAGTGAAAAAATCAAACACATATTATGACACGTAAAATGACATTTGTATAAATATTTCATCAGCATTTAAATTTAAACAAATTACCAGATACGAGATACGAGATACGCGATAATGAAAACTAAGTTATTTTTTAGGGCAAACGAAAAGCAAACGAAAAGCGAGGAAAATCGAGAAAAATCGAGGAAATTCGAAAGAAGAAAATTGGAAAATGTAAGAGAGAGGAGCATACCAAAGCTTAGTTTAGGGAGCGCTTATGAATTTATATCTTTAATTCGTGAACAGATTTGTTGTGCATATTATGTTTTAAGTTGTAATTATTATTTTTAGGACTCTCCCTACGTTCTGTATAACATATTCGATGTATTCGTATCCAGTCATTTAGGGATTAAGTTCGCTCCTGATTTCGTATTACTTTCTAAGGATTAAACATTAAAGGATTAAAACTTACATAAATGAATACCCAAAGACTGTTTTCGTTCCATCATAACAAGTATATAAATACATTTAAACACACACACTCACACACACACACACAAAACACATACATATATATTACCATTACCATTAACATTACCATAAATACGAGTATAAACATTACGAAACACTTTTTAAACTGCGAATCCGAGAGATCGCTAATTAGAGCCTGATTGGTCGAAAGAGGATACTCCTAGAATTATATTCTAAAAAAGCAGAAATCTTAAGCTAAATTCCCCGCAAAAACTAGCCACGAAAAAACAACAACAACAACAACAACAACGCTAGAAAAGTAAAGTAAACGCAAAGGAAAATGGAAAAAAAAAAGAAAAAGAAAATTACCTTTAGAAGAACTTAGCGCAATTGAATTAATATATAAATAATACCTAAAAATAAACAACAACAAAAAAAACAAAAATAAAAACACTTATATATATAAAAATTAAATATGCCCCTTTCCGGGGGGGCAGGGGTATGGAGATGGAGATTACATTTTACATTGTATATATTATTAGTTTTTAGCACGTATACAAAGGACAGACACACACACACACACACACACACAGCCAGAACATTAAAGCCACATACGAAATTGGTAGCAGAACCGAAAACTACAACTAAAACTAAAACTAAAACTAAAGTCTTTATATATAGTAAGTGGCGAAAGGAGGGGGAGAGGAGGGGAGTGCATTCGCATTCGCATTCGCATAACAAATAAAATCCAACATTTCATATGCATAAACCCGAAAACCAACTGCATTTAAAAACCATTTCATTCCATACGACAAAGCAAATGTTTTTTTCGAGATCGATTTTATATCAGTTTTTTTTATGGGTTTTCAATACCTTGGGAATACTGGGAAGAGTTTATTGATTTGGAGGGAGGGAGAGAGAGAGATATATGTATGTTGTAAGTGGAATTCGGGACACTTTTTCCTACAAATATTATCCAGAAAAACATGGGATTAGGGGCAGTATATCGGAAGGAAAACTCTCTTTATGCGCAGCCCATTGATAGTTTCAGACAAAGAATGATTCTGGTTATGGTGTGTCCTCCAATCGATCAGGAGACAGGCTAAACGTTAAAAAGGCTGTGGCTATGCCTCCCACATTCAATAGAGGCATTCATTTGGCAATTATCTGCTTCTAGTATCTTCCAAAAGTCCCCTTTACCGGAGCTACAGCAGTCGCAAATAGAGACAGAAGAATTTCAAAGATATTCGATAGAATGATCGCATATGACCGCCAGAAAAGGGAAATCATACCCCAAGTTCTCTTTGAGATATCCAGCCCTGTGTTCCCCTTCGACATACAGCCGTAAAACAGAATACCAGGTATCCCGATGGTCGCCACAGCGACTAAATCGACTAAAATTGGTTTCTTTTTGTTGCCATAAACTTTTGTAGAGCAGACTTTTTGGCTTCGTGAGGGGAGGGAGGGGGGGCCCGTCAGCTTAGGCAATCGAAAACAATAATCGCAAATCTGCTATGATTTCATCTGTTATTGCATATGGGAGTGCCAGAGTATTGTGGGAACGAAGAATAGACTTTATTTTCATTTTGTTTGTTCAATAGTCAGCCAGAATACAGAAAAAACTATGAACAGAATGCAGAAAATACAGAACCGTATTGTAGAGAACCGTAAGTACATAATATATACAAAAATGAACAATATATATATATAGACACAAAATATACGAGTATGTATATGAAATCTATCTAAATCATAGAGTTTTCCAGGCAGCGTACACATAAGATGCATAAATGCCCACAAACATGATCCTATATAAAATTCATTTTCAGTTCCACGCACACACACACACACACACAGACACAGACATTTTTCGGTGTTCGAATTATTCCTATTACCACAGAAAAGATAAAAAGATACTTAAGATATCCAACACAAACAAACAAAAACAAAAAAAACAACTGCAACAAAAGTTGACTATTGACTATTGAAAAGTGCAAAGATTTTAACGTAATTGTTAAACCATACAGCGAAATAAATATTTAAACTGATGCGAAACCACAATAAACTTCTCCGCTGTACGACGAGGACTTGTTTGAGAGAAATTCTTAGAACTTTTAAAGCACATTAATTGTTAAAAAGCAAATCAGCCCGAAACCAAAAGTAGACATTTAGAGAGAGGAGGAGAAGGAAAACAAAACACCAGACCACAGACCCGCGAATGAGTCGCTTCGATGGCCGACTGAATGCAGCTCTGATTTTCTGCGATATTTATTGAATGCCGCTTCGATTATTTATGCCTTGCAGCTCTGACTTCCAGCCCCCATTTACCAACCCGATTTGCTACAATTTGCTACTTGCTTTCGATCGATGGACCGATCATTTCGGTACAGCACACACACACAGAAAAACACTGCCAGAAATTATGGGTTTAGTTCTCTCGCAAAACAAAAGACTTGAAAACGGAATATTGATTCAACGAACAGTTCTTTTTGTAGGCTTTCGCTTTTATTCTGAATTCCTGATTTTTCGTTCTTCGACGCATCTGACTATGGATAAAATTTTGCATTTAATATACGTATAGGTCGAGAACCCGGAAACTTTTTTAAAAACAAATCCAGCGCCCAGACAGACAGAAAATAGTTACAAACCGAAAACCTGGAGAGGGATATTTTATACAGAAAACAAATAAACCACAAGAAAATTAGTAGACAGAAACGCAGAAGTAAATTATATACTCATTTACACACGTATTTGTTATATATTTTGTAATGTAAGTTAGAGGCATAAACTATATATATTGAATAGTGCACAGGACACACACACACACACACACACACATACATGATGAGAAATACATTTACACAGACAGACAGACAGTCAAGGATCATACTATTTGATAACTATGTATTTATAAGGTATGAATTTTTTACCAAAACTGCAAAAAAGTCAAAAAACAAAAGCAAAACCCAGATGTAACCCCATATAAAATCGATTGAAATGGAAAAAAACTAAACCGAACTCAAAAAAGAAAATCTGGAGACAGAAATCCAATTGAAATGCAGTTTTCTATAGAAATTTGCATATAAGTAAATTATTATGTAAAATCACTTTAAAATACAGTAAAAAAAACAAAAAATAAAAAACTAGTATTTAAAAAAAAGGAAAAAAATTATGAATAATTTACGAGTAATATTAAATGAAAATCGAGCGCAAACTAACAAATCAATTGTGCGTCATTGCAGCAGTCTCGATTCGGTTAAAAAATTTACATTAGAATAATGATTAAATATGGCAAGATATCCAGCGATGGAACACTTGCAACTGAATGGCAAATCGGGAATAAAATTAGTTAAGAAAAAACATATACACACACACACACACACACACGAACAGCCTACACAAAGGACACACAGGACACACAGACACATACACATGCACTCATAATGACACAAAAAAAAATACAACAAAAACTGCAATTATATTAAACAAGAAAATTATTACAAAAGCAACAAAACACAAAAAAAGAACAGTGGAAAACCAACAAAAAGAAAAAGATAAAAAAATAAATAAAGAATCTGTAACGTTATATGGAAAACAAACAAAAAAAAAATACAAAAAAGTGTGGTTTTATTTTGGAAATCAAAGGGAGTTCGGATTGGATTTATTTTCCAACAGGAATTTGGCAGAGGATTATTGATGAAAGTATTTGTTGATGGAAGTGCAGGGACTTCTTCTTCAAGGGTATATCCAAGCGAGAAGGCCGACCTCAAGGACTCTGTTTGTGTCATTGGAAATGACTGGAAATGTGTCCTTTGATTATGGATCACACTGTCACACATGGTACAGGGATATAGCAGAAAGGTCTTAAAATTGTATGGGAAATGGAGACTTTTCTGGAATCAAACCTTTCCAGAGTATTCTAGAAGGGATGGTGAGTCTTTTTATAGGATATTTATGTCTGTGGGAAATGCAGGACAGAGGGAGACACGAAGCAGTGTCGCTTGGTCTTCATAGACCAGCCGTCAGTTCTGAGAGATCCGATAGGAAGAGGGAGAGATCACTCAGTTCTCAGATCAGCCAGGCATCGGATACATAAGACCATAACTATCACTAGAAACAAAACCTGGAGCTGTTATAAGGTTCGATGTACTCATAAAACAAATGTTCATCGTTGCCATCAAGCCACTTAATCCCCCACATTCCTTCCAGACATTTAACGAATCAAATGAATAATTATGCTTCTTCTACCGATGTTGACAATATTTGCATTAATGTGGCCCTTTTTGAGCTACTTTCAAGGCCAAAAACCCATCGCTTCTTTACACTCAATGAACCATTTGAAAGATGCCTTGGGATATGGACGTTTACTGTGTCATTTCTTAGAAGATGACTGCTTCATCTCATTACAGATCGTATTACCTGGACTACTGTGTCTAGTCAATAAGTATTTCCATCCAAATAGGAAAAAACCACCAATCTGTCGCCCAGAATCCACTTTCCATCTGAGTTTTCCGCCAGTCCAAAAAAGTATTTTTCCCTTTAATTCCCACAGACTCATTTACGGTCAGTCGGTGGCACTTGATTACGATTCGTATCGAGGGCCAATGCAAATATTTGACCACCACAGTAATCGCTTGTTATCTCAGCTTTGGACACCGTGGCCACCACTCCCTTGCTCCTGTTCCAGGTGGAATCCAGCACACACTTATATTCGTTTATATTTAGGAATATTTGTGTATATTGTGCGAAACGAAATGAAACCAATATTAGCCAAAGTCAATGTTGAGTCAGACATGTACTCCGTGCAGTGCTCGGGGCAGACACCACTCACAGGAGCATATTATATCCTTATTTGGCTTTCGGAGTGTGGCCTTTGCCATTGTCTGCTATCCGGCACTATCTCGGCAAATACATCCCAGAGTATCTATAAAAACACACACACACACACACACACACAGACACAACAGCAACAGTGCCACACTTTTGCCCCAAGAAAAGTTGGCGCAACAAGGGGAGAATGTACAAATACATTTCTTTACCGATTTTCCTTCGCTTTTTATCCTTCCTTCTTTCTG